CCACAATCTGCTGTATCTTGTCTGTACACAGACGTTTGTGTTAATTTTACCTCATGAATCACATCCAATTTTTATACAGTGGAATTAAAAGAAAAAAGAATCAGTCATTGCAATTTGTGTTCTATTGTCCTAGTTGTCCAATACTAGGCAGATTAGAATTAATTAATTATATTATATGAGCTGCTGTAAGATCTAGCTTTTTTCATTTGAGGGAATTAGCCAAAATAAAGCCTATCTTATCGAAACAGCATTTTGAGACAGTAATCCATGCCTTTGTTACTTCTAGGCTGGATTATTGTAACGCACTTTATTTTGGGGTTAGTGATGCGTCCATTAGGCGCCTGCAGGTTGTGCAAAATGCTGCAGCACGTCTTTTAACTGGAACAAAAAAGTTTGAGCACATTACCCCAATTTTAATTTCACTCCATTGGCTACCTGTACATTTTAGGATTGTTTTTAAAATTCTCTTATTTGCTTTTAAATCTCTTAATGGCCTGGCCCCCCCTACCTCTCGGAGCTACTACAACCATATACACCTCCCCGTTCCCTTAGGTCCGCCAATCAGCAGCTCCTTAAGGTACCAAAAACTAAGTATAAATCTAAAGGTGATCGTGCTTTTGCTGTAGTTGCTCCAAAGTTGTGGAATGATCTACCCTTGCATGTTAGGCAGGCCTCTTCTCTCTCTGAATTTAAAAGTCTTCTTAAAACATATTTATTCGCTGAAGCCTTTGGCATTGATTAGAGGGGTTGACTAAATTTGTTTTGACATGTTTTAATTTATTTTAGTTTTTTAGTTATTTATTTTATCTTATCTCATTTTAATTTGCTTTTAGCATGTACAGCACTTTGTGAACTCTGGTTTTATGTTAAAGTGCTTTATAAATAAAGGTGGTATGGTATGGTATGGTATATTATGACATTAGAAATTAAAATTCTAATATCAAGCCCACGATGTGAAAAAAAAATTCTGCTGCTGTTAACAGCAGGATGCCAATTTTCTGTAACTGGGGAAAAAGGAAAGGAGCGAAGGGATGGAGGTGTGCATATCTCAGGGAAGATGTGGTGAAAGTAAAACACTGATTTTGATCGAGTTCAAAATCACCAACACTGTCTAATTTTTGCACTGAATCCAACTCAGCCTACATTTCACTCAGAGCTGAAAGTTTTCACATTCCTCACTCTGTATGGAATTTCCTCTCCTGTTCCTTCATTGTACCCCTTAGAGGGTAATTAATTAATTAGTAAGTATTAGAGATGGACCGATCCGATATTACGTATCGGTATCGGTCCGATACTGACCTAAATTACTGGATCGGATATCAGAGAAAAATAAAAAATGTAATCCGATCCATTAAATATCACGAAAGCACCTCGCAAAACTTGCAACACGCCGTAACTCACCTCAGAACGTTAGCAAGTCGGAGCAGTATGCATCACGTGATAGAGCAGCTGTGGCATGCCGGACCTGTCGGTGGTCTGGATAGCATGTGGAGCTTCGCTAGCAACCTGGCATTTCATCTCCGACAAAGTTATCCCCGAGAGAAGTAAAGCAAGTGTGTAAGTCCATCTCTGAATGTTTGTAAAGCATTCCCACGTTAAGCTTAACAAGTGACTGCCTCTCGCTCTCCGGCTGCTACTTCAATCGTGAAACTGCTTAAATGATCAGCTGATCGGCTTTTCTGTCGTGAGTCTCTCTTGTTTGTTTTTGGCCCACTTTGCACCAGAAAGAGGAAACCAGCGGCTGAACAACAGCAGCACGTTTAAGCTTGATCAGCTGTTGTTAGAATTTATTTAATATTTCTTTCTACACCAGGATCTTTTTCTACGTAGCTGACGCTGGTAACTGTGCAGGGGCGGATCTAGCAAAGTTTAGCCAGGGGGGCCAATAAGGCATGAACAGGGAAAAGGGGGCACAAAGACATACTTTTCTTTCTTATTCTCATTTAAAATGTCGAGCTTTTAATAAATAATTATCTGACACCCAAAGTTTTAATTTGATGTAAAATGAATAGAAGTCCATTACTGTATATAGTGACTATTAAGTCTAATATATACCCTAGTAAGCTATAGTACTTTTTACTTTGGGAAGGTACCATCTGTGCAGTCTGCAATTTTGTTGAAGAAAGATGTTGAATCTATTTAATATTTCTTGAAAAATAATTGATTTCTGTGCATTTTTTTTCACACTGCATCAAATTAAGGTTGATTACGTCGATTAAGCATCATGAGGTGGCGCGTGAGGGGTGGTTCCTTATTTTTTATTTATTTGTGTTTGTTGTTGCTGGGAGTTGGAACCCTATTAGTTAGGTTGCTTAATATTTACGCTAAGTACTCTTTAAAATACCAGAATAGGGAGGATGGTGTAGGTCTAAGTTTATTAGATTGATCAGTATTGCTGAACTATGAAATATTTTTTTTGTATACAGGTATAACAGAATAGCTTTAGTGTAGTTGTTGTTTTAAACTTGAGTATGAACTTGCAGACTTGCAAAATGCAGCAAGATATTTTAAAAAACAGTTTTGTTGATTAAAAAACACTATATCGGATTCATATCGGTATCGGCAGATATCCAAATTTATGATATCGGTATCGGTATCGGACATAAAAAAGTGGTATCGTGCCATCTCTAGTAAGTATGTCATGAGTCATCACGTTGGGATGTATTATTGTGTGTATTGTAGTGTAGTGTAGGGTCTGCCTTACAACATAAAGCACCTTAAGGTGACTGCTGTTGTGATTTGGCGCTGTATAAATAAAACTGGTTTGAACTGAACTGACGTATAGTTGCACTTCTAAGAAGCTATATAATGTGGTTGAATTACTGGAGTCTTCTTACGGTAGAGATATTATATACTGTTTCTATGAATATGTAAAACTGAAGAATAAAGTACATCAGAAAAAGTGATAGTCCTGCTTCTAGTAAAAACAGTCTCTTTTTCCATTCAAGAAACTGCCCTTAGATGCTTAACTAATAATCTTAATTATTTCATATTTGTCTAAAACAACATTAATATGAAAAAATGCATAAAATATCCCAACAATTGTTGTAATAATTTTTATTTTTTTTTATATATGTATTTTGTAACTAACCCTAACCTCCTTCGTGTCAAGCATGTGCATGCTACAAAAATATGGCAACTTTAAATAATTAAGCATTAACTGCAGAAAATAGCAGATGTTTTGGGACATTCACCTAGCTCATATTTGGATTTAATTTTAGCAACCATTCAGTGGCATGACTTACTCTTTTCTCCAGCTTTGCACTTAGGTAATGCTAATGCCAATATATAATATAATATACAGCATAACTGTATTGGCTTTACATAAAATATTCAAAAGACTAATGTAGTTATTTTTCATAAGATTGTTTTCATTATGTATGATGATCATTTTTACGCAGGAATTTGTCATAACTTTGAATAAACCCTAACTCATTCGTTGCACACTTAAATACAATCAAAGGGTATAGTTTTTTGGACAGATGTTGTATGCAGTTTATTTTGAAAAAGTTTTTTGTCTTTTGAATATTTATAATTTCCCATGAATAAAAAAAAGTATTTCTTATCCAACTACTCAATTAATCAAAGGAATAATCGATACTCTATTATTAAAACAATCATCCCTAGTTACAAGTATTTAGGTCAAGTTTGTTTATTATAGCACATTTCCAAACAGTGCTTAACACTGTAAAATGCCACTAAAATAAATAAAATGCACAACAATGATGCAGTAAAATATAGAAAAACAAATAAATACAATATGTCAATAAAAACAACTAAAACAACAACAACAACTAAGGCTATTAAAGTCAATGTGTGTTAAAATCCAGACCACAAAAATGTCTCTTTATTAACGATTTGAAATGTTTGAGCGTTTGTGCAGATCTAATATCAGGAGGAAGACTATTCCAGGCTCTGTCACCACAACGAGTTTAGACTGTGGAACAGTTAAAGGTTGGTTAAAACATATTCTTGGATTGCTGTAGAAAGTGCTTGAAAGGTCCAGGTCAAAACTAAGCCTAAAAATGGTTGTGTGGCTCTGGGGAGAGCAGCCAAAGTGCACAACTGGGAACCTGACAAAGAGTGAGTGTGTGGGGTCAAGGGGTTAATCTGGCTCTCGTTTAATTCTTATCTTTTAAATTCACTGATGGATAAAAAAAAATCCCCTCAAACTGCCTGCTGGATCTTTTAATCTGGTAGATTTAATCTCGTGTACCTTGGACAGCACTAGCACAGAGAAAGGATGAGCAAGAGCATAATACAGTAGAACACAATGTATGTATAGAGGAGTCACCAGTTACACAAATACAAAACATACTCTGATATATTTGTGTTTAATTCATTTATATTGTGATAATTATTGCCAGCTTTTTTGAATCAGTCAGCCCCTAACACTTCTAGAGTAAGCTTGTTCACTTCCTGTTTAATAACATCAGGTGTACACCTCTAATAAAACATCTGAAGATCCAGCGGCATCACGCTCTGTTACAGGCACAAATTAGACTGCTCGTATTATTTTCAAACACTGTTTAAAAAAGCTCTTTCTCTCTGAAGGTCTGACACTTTTTATTAGTTTCTTTTAATTTTATAAGTCCAAAGCAAGTCTTTCAGAAATATAGAATGAAATGTGAAGACGGATAAAACACAGATCATAAAAAACAGATTGGGTGTAAAGATGTCTAAATCAAACCTTGACCTTTACACAAGACTTACACTAGACCTCTTTATGAAAGCTGTCATTATTGTTTCAATATAAAAGTGTTTTTTACTTGGAGAAAGTAAAACCCAACAGAAGCTTTTCAGTGATCTACTCTTTATGCGCACGGTGCCTGAAAAAGCTCATTTTGTCTGCTAACAAACAAATTCTTTATGGTTGTAGTGGTAGCTCACAGGTGTTAGAATTTGCTGAAAAACGATGCCCACGTTCAGCAACATGTTGGCCAGATAAAAGAAGATGGGGAAAAAATAAACAGGAAGAAAGGAAGAGCCTGTGTCCTTACTACATGAGAGGCTTGCGGCAAAGCACCAGGGCGTCGTAGAGCAAGCACACTCCAAACACGGTGATGCCTGTCTCTTTCACCAGCATGGCGCAGGTGCCCAGCAGCAAACTGAGGAACAGCGAAGATGACGACACCGTGAAGGCCAGCGAGTCCTCAGAGACACGCCCACCCACACTCCTGAGAGAGGAGACGAGACAAAAGTATGAGAGAACAAAACAGCTCGGCTTTTGTAAAGTCACTAGCTTCAGGACAGCTTCTGTTCGTTAAATGTGACGTGGCAGTCATGTTGCAGCACGTCTAACACAACGACAGAAATCACTTGTTACATTAGCTAAATTTAGATGTTTTTTATGGCTGTAATTAAGAACTGTCAGACCTGCGTGTTCATAAGCTTTTATATGTTCAGCTGATATACTGAACATATAAATTATACACTAATAGGCTGTAACACTTCCTGTATGTAAATGAGACTAAACATGATGTTTTTATGAACAATTTTCCATCCATCCCGTAACAAATCTAACTATGGTAACAGTAAAAGTACTCTGTAAAATCTTATGTGCTTTGAGATTCTGTTCACTTTTTAAACACCAAGCTGTAATCATAAACCTCACAAAGTCATATGCATTACACGACTGAACATGAGTAACAAAACCGTTTAACATTTTCACTCACTTGTTAAAAATAATTCAGTATTACAACCACCCGTTTGTAGGAGCTTTCCAAGTTTATTCTATTCACTCGATCTGCATCAGTCTCTCAGGCAGGCCAATCTAATTTACAGTTGCAAATGTGCATAGAGAGGTTGAGGATGGTGTTGTCTTACAATAATCTAATATCTTACCTAATATAGGAGAGGAATGTCAGCAAAAACAGCAGACAGGCCAACACATCAGCTCTACCCACGATACCAGACACCTGCGAAACAGACGTGCACAGATTTGAGAGATTACGCATGTGCCAGAATGCTCCATTGAGGACACACTGCTGGATGTCTATGTGCAGCCCATTACTGTTGCTATGCTACAGTGAGCTGCACATCACTGTCTCAGTAGAACCAGCCTCTGTACTTTCCTTTCAAACCTTGAGAGCGATACGCAGTGTGACCATGGCTCATGGTTACTGGTGCCAAGAATAAGTATTAAGGCTTTTCTATAATGTCTGATCACACACGTGTTTCCGTTGGGCAAGCATGATTTGTTCATAAACAATTCTCCCCAGAACTTTACTTAGACTAACAGGTCTGCTACTGACACCATTAAAAACAGCATTCTTTTTTTTTGGAATTGGAATTCTTTCCGATTCAGTCCACTGCGATGGAAATAAGCTGCATGCCAAACATCTATGTGATGTATAGGAAGGGACACAAACTTGGCTGCAGCTTTGAGCAGTTTACTGTCTATGTTATCAGAACCTGAAGATGTATCATCAGGAAGTGATATTAATAAACGCTCCATCGTCTCAACATTCACTGCCTCAAACTTAAATTGGCATTGCTTATTATCCATGATAGCATGATAGGATGGGATCTCCTCTACTCATTTTAAATTTGTTATTTTATTGCTGTAGTAAATCTTGAAATATATCCTTAGCTTTACTTATAAACATTCCATCTGTGCTGATGTGTGGCACCACCAGAGCATCACTCTGCCCATTATATTGGTTAAAACTTTCCACATCTTCTTTCTGTCCTTATTGGCCTCCTTGAGCTCATGTTGATAATATAAATTCTTCTTATTAAAATATTTGTCTGTGTTAAAGTTTATGTATGATCTACGAAAAACAATCTCTCGTGCAGTTTTCAGTGGTTTCATTTTCTTGGTCAAGCCTACAAGATTATGGTCACTATAACTAACTGGAACAGAGACAATGTTTAAGCATTGTTCAGGAACATTTGTATATATATGATCAATACAAGATGATGACCTATGACCTGCCTCTGTTGACCGTCATCCGCGTGGGAATGATTACCATCTGAGACAGACAGCAGTAGATGCTAATGAACTCTTCTTTTTCCTTAAAGGACAAGAAGTAGATGACCAATTAATATTAAAATCTCCAAATAAAAATATGTCCTTGTCTTCCATCTTTCCAACATTTCACAGATTCGTTCTACATACAACGTATTGCTACTAGGGCGTCTGTAGCAGCAACCTACCAATAACAGCGTGCCATGGAGCGGGTGTAACTGAACCCACACGATTTCCAGATCGTCAAACATTAAGTTCATACGTAGTTTGCGTGCCACATTGTCATTAATATATATAAGGCAACACCCCCTCCAAATCTGTTTAAGTCTTTCCTATACAACTTATAACCATTCATTTCAAATTCATTATTCTCAAAGGCAGCACCTAAATGTGTCTCAGAAATGAGTTTGTTGACAGCAATGACTGAATTTCCTGAAACTTATATTTAAGGCTACAAATACTACCATGAGCTACTGAAAAATATTTTGCGGAGAATCCGGGAATAAACTGATCAACCATAACGGCTAGAAATCAGAATCAGCATTCTGATTCTGATTTCTAGCCGTTAAATGGCAATATTACTGAAAGTGTAAATGTTAAATCCAGCATTCCGGGACTTCGGTTTAACAATAAATTTATCATGTTTCAGGACGGCAATATCACCTCTGTCTCTGGCCACTCTCAGCTGTAGTAATAGTTCTTTCCTCTTCTTCCTGATCTTTGTAACCTGACCACAATCTGCCTGGCTCAGCCATACGTGACCGCGTTCGATTTGAACGTGTCGCTGTCGAGGCCCTGCTGGTTCTTCAGCAAGTGTTGGACTTTATCCTCTAATTCAGGGGTGGCCAACCAGTCAGAGACCAAGAGCCACTTTTTTTTCTTTTACTGTGTTACCGCAAAGAGCCACATCATACACATGGGCACACATGAACATCACCCATCCTCCCTCTCTCACACACACACACACACACACACACACACACCTCTGCTCAGCCAGATTTATTGTAAATGTCACACACCAACATGATAATGACAGAAATGGACTCCTACAGTACTAAAACCACAGGCCAGTCATTTTCAACAATGAACATTGTGTGCACTGTCTCACACACACAAACTCTCAGTTTAACCAAGTCCACAAACAAAAATATAATAATCTACAATAGCATTTACTTCTACAATGCATGTTGTTTAGTGGGACTTCTGGCATTCCTTGCCTTGAACAATCCTCTTCAAATCTGGCTTGTATTCCGTTGTTGCCACTCGAAGCAATTCGAGTGTCAGTCAGAACAGATCGATGCTTTGATTTCACAGACTCGCAGACGTATGTTGACCCAAACATTGACAGTATCTTAAGCGCGGCCCATTTGACATTGGGGTATTTTTCCATTGGCACACTTTTCCAGAACTCAATGGTCCCTTCCCTTAAAGCAGGTTTCAATTGGTCCTTTTCACAAAGATCGATCATCTCCAACTCAGCCGCAGCTTCATCTGTGACTAGCGGGACTTTCAAACAGCCGGTCTCTGCATTAAATCGGTCGACGAGGAACGTAATCTGTGGCCTTTTCAATTGTAGATCATGGAACCGGGTCACGAAGCTTTCGTGCAAGTTTTCAATCAGCGTTGCATATCTGGCTCTTTGCTTACTCAGGGCAGCGCTGGCGACTTGCCCGCTGGCTTTTAGCAGTGGGAAAATGCTATAACTCCCTTTTGAATATGTCTTGAACAGCTTTAGTTTGTTGACAAATGCAAACACACTTTGCACCAGGTCAGGCAGCATTTTTAACTTACCCTGCAGGGTCAGGTTCAGTCTGTCCAAGTGACACAGCATGTCGACCAAAAAGGCCAGATCCATAATCCACTTGAGGTTCGAGAGCTCGGGATAGTCCTTCTCTTCCATAAACAGTTTCACGGCATCCAAAAGCTCAAAGAAGCGAGAGAGTACCCGGCCTTTTGACAGCCACCTCACAGTGCAGCGGCAGGTCACCTGGAAGCCCTTGGTCCAGCTCAGCAATGAGATTCTTGAATTGCCTGTGGCTAAGCGCATGTGTGCGGATATAGTTGACGATTTCCATCACAGGCTTCGTGACGTTATCTAAATTCAATGATTTAGACACGAGTTGCTCCATGTGGATGATGCAGTGGATGATCCAAAAGTCAGGAATAGTTTGGTCAGCTTTGCACAGCCCCACAAGCCCGTTCACAGATCCCATCGTGGCTGGTGCTCCATCCGTGGCTATTGCAGTTAATTTCGTTATGGGCAGATTTGCTTTTTCAAATGCAGCCATCATGGTTTGTTCACATCTATGCCACGGGTTCTGTCTTTTAATGGCACAATATCCAGGAGCTCTTCTTTGATCACACAATCGTTTGACACAGACCCTAAAATATTGCCCACTGAGGCTTGTCTTCTATATCACAACTCTCATCCAAAGCGACACTAAAATACTCACATGCTTGAAGGTCAGAGTGCAACTGTGATTCAATAGCCGTGTTAATGTCCGATATTCTGTGTTCAACAGTGTGGCGGGACAGTTGGACGTCTGATACCATGCGGTTTAATTTGTTGTTTTCAGGAGACAAGATTTCAACAACGTCACTGAGGCATTTTTTAACGAACTCCCCTTCATTGTATGGCTTTTTAGCCCGTGCAATGTTCCCAAGCCAGCTGATAGGATGCGAGCGTTATGGTCTCTGACCGCTTCGTAAATTTTTGGAAAAACTGTATCTGCTTTTCTGCCTGACTTTTCAAAGTGTGCTTGTGAAGTTCAGTCCCTTTTGGAAATTCCTGGTCGATGTTAGCATGGAGTGAGCTGAAGTGGCGCTGAAGATTTGAAGCTTTGAAATGCACTAATGACGTCTGACATATAAGGCAGAATGGCTTGCCATTGCGTTCAACAAAAAAAAATATAAACTCTCCCACTCTGTTAAAAACGTCCTTTGTTCATCTTCATATTTTCTTTTCACTGTGCATTTTTTCCCTGCCATTTTAAGGGCGAACTTGCTCCTACTGGGAAATTTTGCAGTATTTTCATCTCACACACATGGCCATTTGATGAAAATACAGTATTGAACTCAAGTGAAGCGAATGTGCACATTTTAAAACAACAACACAAAAAAAACTCAAAACACAAACACAATCTTTGATATGAATGTAAGAGCCGCATGAAACCAGGCAAAGAGCCGCATGCGGCTGGAGAGCCGCGGGTTGGCCACCCCTGCTCTAATGCTTCCCAAGTTTCTGCATGTTCGTCTATTAATCCATCCACCACGATGTTATTCCTCCTCTATTCATTTTCTAAACAATCCAACTTGGTTGTTAACTCTTTGGTTTCCCCGCATATGCTGCTGACCACTAATTCAAACTCTTTCTTTCAATTTGCTTTTAATACTTTTCTCTTTGGTTTGCAGCTGACCGACAACACCATCCGTGAATTGCAGGCTGGACTTAACATCCTGTACATCCTTTAGAATGCTGTCTAATCTTTTGTTAGTTCTGTCTACAATTAATTGAACAAATGACTTGAAGTCATCTTGCTGACTTTGTTCCTGGTGAACATTACTTGTGCCAAACACTGGATGATGATCTTCAGCTTTCCAAGGGCAAGCTATTTAGATTTTTGTCAATTAACCTACTGTTACTTGTCCAGACTGCTTGCGTTTTAAGTGGAGGGGCACACACTTTGAGCATTACGTGATCATGTTCACATGGTTGTGGGAAGCCAAAATCATGATTATGATTAAAATATGTATAACTGTGCAGCCCTGGCACTAACGGATCGCCATGCTCATGGAAACATGAGCATAAAATGTCACGATCATTAACGTCAGCCCCTCAGGCCATCCTCACGAAGTCTGTTTGACAACACTCACACCAGTGGCCTGGTAGAGGTCAGCTTTTAGGCTTCTGTTAGTGCTCATCCTGTTTCTACTTGCAGAGAGGAGCAG